TGGTCCGCCGTGAACACTTTGCGGGTCTGTGACAATATCAAATTGTTATCTGGCATAAAATAATTACAACGTTTTCAGCCAGACAAAATCGATGTCATCGCTTTAGTTGTCGCTGTTGTTGCCACTAGAGGCACCACGGCAGATACTACCATCGAAGGTGCTGTGTTGGCGGCTCGCTGCCGCCAAAGTATAGCTGCCAATTTGAGTGCCAATAAAGCGCGTGTGTGCGACGACGGAAAAGAGATTTCATTTTCAGACCGGCCGGCCGACAGCACGACAGCACGATGGGGAGGAGAGCTTTGCCGGGGATTGAGTTTTGTTGCCTGTCTCTGCTTTGCGCTAATTAACCAAAAACTCAGCCAATTAGTTCGACCAACACGGAAAAGTGGCAGCGCAATGGAAACCGTGAAAAGGGAGAAGGGGTGGAAATCAAAATGGAAATGGAAATGGAAATGGAAATGGGTGTTTGCTCGTCCATTGGGCAAACTAGTTTTGATTTACTTTGCATTTCGATTTTGCGATTGCACTTTGAGGGGAACCAGTTCGCGGATTTGCATTTGAATCTTGCCGGCATGCTTTTCGATTGAATTCTGGTGTTTAATCGACACCAGAACCGGCGGGAAAGTAGTCTCAATAACTCAATCAATTCTCGGGGTTCTCACATTAGCCCTGCAAATTTCGACTGAATTATTTTTCTTAATTGTTGCACTTGGAATGCGAGACGCTAATTAGTGGATTCATTAAAACAATGCCGATTCAGTAGCATTGGGGATGTAAACAAAGTACTCCTCTCTGGTATTTCGTTTTCGGGGTAATTCATTGATTGAAAAGTATTAAGATGGGGAGCAGGACGGGAGGACGGGGCAAAGGTTAAATTATGCCTGCATTCGACGGGATGCGGCCACAATAAACAAACAGCGGCATGGGGAGGCAGGTTTGTTCGCCCCTCTGTGACAGCAGTGGCACGGGGAATGCAGGGGGGCGTGCAGCGGCGGATAGTCAGTCAGAATGCAAAGCTTGTTAAAATTCATGTAATGCATTAACAGAGAACAACAACCACAAATTACACACACAGACAGGAGGATCCGGCAAGACGGGGAGACACAGGGATTCAGGGATACTGAGACGCGGCACAGAGGCAAAATGCCGACGGGCTGCAATGAAAAGGCAATTAAAGCGCAGCAGGATCGGATGTGCAGTGCAGGAGGGGGCGAGAGTTCTCGGGGGGGGAGACTACAGTGGAGGTTGCTGCTGCTGCTGCTGCTGTGGCCGTGGCAGCAATCAATTGCATGCTTCAATGGACAAATATACGAGCATAGACAAGTGGAGAGCCCGGCCAGATAGACATGGCCGATACGAACACCGGAGCAAATGCGTTCGCCCAGCAATCTCCCAAGTGTGTGCCACAGTATATATATGTGTGTGTGTGTGTGTGCGTCAAGCATTCGTCGCTTTAGCCGCTGTCTCTGTGTCAGACTCTGTCGTTGTCCATGGCAGACAACGGCGGGACGGACGGCAAGCGGCTAGATGGACTCAACTAGATAAAACCTTAGTTGGCATGGACCCCAGACAGGGGTCTCTAGTAGAGGAGTAGCAGCAAAGAGGGAATGGCGAAGCATGGAGCATGGAGCATGGAGCATGAAGCTGTGGCTGTGGCTTTGCTTCGCGTTTGAGTTTGGGTTGGGTGCTCCATCCAATGTCTGCATCTTCATTGGCAGCAACGGCAGCAGCAACAGCAGCAGCAGCAGTCAAGTGGAACGGCAAAAACTTGTTAACTTTTTGCTACAAAAGGTTCGAAGAGTGCCAAGTTGAGTCAATCAACTTGAAGCAGCAGTGTTACCTGCCCCACCCCCCTTCCCAATGCCAACTGCCTGCTGTCTGCTGCCTGCCAATGCGGCTCGTCCACTCGTCCTCTCACTTGGCAGCAATTAATCAAAAGCCCAGCTCCAAATCGGGGCCCAGGCTGGGGAGTTTTATTATTGCAATCAAGTCATTTACCTGCCCCAAGTTGTGCTTGCAGCAATGGCTGCTGGGGCTGGTTCCCGCTGCTGTTTTAGGACGACAGCCGTTTAATTATCACTTTTGGCAGCAATTAACAGACAGAAATTTGGCAGACACTCAGCGGGCCACGCCCTGGCCGCTGGTGGGGTGACGGCGACTCTTCTCCGCCGCCTCCGCGTAGAGCGGACTGATCGTGGCGAGCAGCCGGTGGGCGGACACGTAGACCCAGTCGCAGTTTCTGACCTCGTCCTCGATGCGGTCAAAGTCGTAGCCCACGATCCGGAAGCCGGCATAGCTCAGCTCGACGCAGTAGATCTCCTGCTCCAGGGTGCGCAGGTTGAGGTACGCCACCCGATCGTTATGCGGCAGGAACTCGGCCACAATGAGGTGGTCCGCAAACTCGTTGAACGCTGCTGCCATTCGCGAGGCCTCACTGTACGCGCTGAACTTACATTCGCCATGCCTAGCGACGGACATGCTGGCGAGTGCAAATTGTCAACTCGAAAACGAATACTGTGACACTTCACCAAGGAATAAAACCGATTGCTTGCTCCGTTTTTGGATATTTAATACAGTGCTACACTCTGGATATTTCCATGTTCCATCATAGACACCGAGGTAATCTCCGCACACTGTCCTTAATTGATTATTGCATTGCATTTTGTCACACTGTGCTGTTGAGACAGCGGTCAATGGGGAGGGAAGAACCATAAAGAACAAAAAATGCAGCGAACAGCTTGAGAATCGTTCCTCCATCTCCATTCATCCATCTGCATCTCCCATTCTCTCTCTCTCTATCTTTTGTCCCTTTAAGACATTTTTCCGTATTATGCATCCGCTTAACTCCTCCTACTGCCCCACCTATCCGCAAACCCAAACCCAAGCTCAAGTGCTCCGTGTCCTCGGGGTATTTTGCTGCTGCAGCGAAAGAAAACAAAAAGAACAAGAGAGCAAAGACTCGGCTCAGACTCATGACAGTCGAAGCAGGAGGGAGTGGGAGAAGGGGAAGGAGGCTTGGTGTGATTTGGCGCACACACAGTCCTAGGGAGACCCACACACACACACACACACACCAGCAGCCAGAAGCATCTTTTTTCTGCTGATGAAGTTGAACAATTTCAGATACGAGCGAGCGGGACGCAGTGCAGGAAGGGATGGGTAAGCGAACGGAAAAGCCAGAGAGGACGGCTCGAGGGTAATGAGAGAAGATAGGTTGGCAGACGGACAGAGAAGACAGTCAGGGACGGACAGGACAGTGATGGTACGACTGTGGAACGTTCATTTGGATGGTGCTCTCGAGCCCGAGACCAAGCCCGAGCCCATGGCAGACAAGCAGTCAGGCAACGTTGTTGGCCCGGCTACTAGGCAGAGTTCCTTCCACCTCCTGATCCCGCATTGCCTTCCCTTCTTCCCACTGCTGACAAACAATCAAGATGCTAAAAGAGAAAAACTTTTCCTGACGACGGCACACACGCAAATTTTTCTTAAATTTCCCCTTTCTTCTTCCTCCTCCCTTCCTGCTGGCACCCTCGAAATATTGTAGTTGATGAATTATGCGACAGCTGCCCAGGAAAACAGTTATTCGGAGCCTCGAACCAAAGAGAAAAGTTCAGTTTCAATTTATTTTAATTGCGAAGACAGTTTACGGTAAAAGGCCCGCCGCCCTCTCTGTGCTCTATGGTGATGGGCGGCCGGCCTGTAATCAAGGGAATAAAGAGAGTAAGTGAGCCAGAGAGCATGGTCATAATCCATTGCCCAAACCCAACTACAACTCTGAGTCTCAACTTGTGCCTGTGCTTGCAACGGGTCTTTAAATTGAATTCAATATTTTGTTGGGAAAAGCTTTAGACAAAGTAACAGCAAAAGCAACAACAACCGCAAATTGTTAACAGCCAACTCTTTTGTTGTATTTGTTGACAGTTGCATTTTTTATACTTTGCACATTTCGTGGCTTTCTTTTTTCGCGCATTTTGTATGTTTGCCGCTTGCCTGTGCTCTGCTGAGAATTGATTTTTCCTTTCCTCATCGCTTATTGTCTGTGTGTGTGTGTGCGTGGGCAGAGCCAGGTGTGAAAGGCGTCGAGTGGGAGTGCCATGAATTGAGCTGTTTTTCGTTATTTCCCCTTCTCCGGGCCATACAGTTACACAGACCCACGAGACACGGAAACAAAACAAAGTGTACGGAGAGTGTGCAAACAGGCGAACGCGGAATCAATGGAAATTTCCAATTTTTCGTTTGGTTTAATGAACTTTAACTATTTAAGCCATTGAGGGTATTTATTGATGGTCAAAGTGCTTTTGCAAGAAAATATTTGTATGCACTGTATTCTGACTCCTGAATATAACGAACTACAGATATTGGTATCATAACATTTAATATTTCCTAACATATCACATAACTTAACATAACGAATGATAACATTAGCAACAACAGCAACAGCCCCACAAGATGCCCCCACGCTGAAAATTCAAAATGTTTTCGTTTGAGTGAACACAACAGCAACAAAAGCATAAACAACAACAATGATAGCTGTAGACATGAGGCATCGTTTTTGCTGATTTTTTGATGTTGTTGCCGTTTCGCTGCCTGGGCGCTACACTTTGTATTTTGTTTTTGGTTTGCTTTTTTTTTGTATTTTTTTCACATACAATTTTTTTTCTCCTCTTCTGCGCCAGTCAATTCAATTTGAAGCCATTTAGCATCAATTTGCAGTAATTTGACGTATAAATTATGTCAAATTGCCGAGCAGCTTGTCATTGGGTGTATTTCGTTGTTGTTGTTGTTGTTGCTGTTACTGTTCTCACTCAGACACTCGGTCGGTCGGTCGGGTCGCTCGTTTCGGTTTCGGTACGGCTTTGTGTAGTTGTTGCTGCTTTTGCACCTTTTTTTTCTTCGACGCCGTGCTGCTGCTGTTGTGAGAGATTGTACCCGCCAGGTAGAGGCGAAGCGAACAAGCAGAGCAGAGCAGGCGTCCCTCCCCTGTTCAACAGAACACAAAATCCCAGTTTCATTGTTCCCTCTTCCTCTCTTCTCCTTCTCGCACACACTAAAGCATTGGTTGGGCACGTTCGGCAGTGTGTGAATTTTATTTTCGCTTCTCGAGGCACAAAAGAATTTCACTTAACACACACACAAACATTGAAGAACGTTCGGGGTACGTACGAACTAAAAAGGGCCCAGCAGTCCAGCAGAGAGGTTCAACAGTAAAAAGTGCCTTATAAAGCCGATATAGAAACTAATACCAATGGAGGGGAGCGAATTGAAGAGCAAAGAGCGCCGAGGGGAAACAATTTTTACGCTTTTGTGAATGTTAACATTCAAAGATATCATCAAAAAATTCACTGGAAATGCCTCGTACAATAAAACCAACAAAAAAGAGCCAAAGAGAACAAAACGAACGAGAGTAGGGGCCGGCCGCCGACAGAGCAAAGCAGTAGTAGATGGTGAGGAATTGGGCGATGGGGGGACGGAACTCTTAAATTTTGTCGCCTCTGCTTTGCGGATGAGTTGCTGTTGCCGTTCGCGCGTCGTAAACTCGGTAGCAGCAAAAAACAGTGGAAACTTGCTCAAGGAGTGGAGGACGTGAAGGAGGAGTAGTTACGGAATATCGAGATATAATAAACAGAAGGTAAGGCAGTCAATGGGAGCGACTAACCCCAGTTCGAAAGAAAATACACAGAGACGTAAAGTGATAATTGGAACTACTATACCTGCTGTTTAATATACCTTGTAGTAAAGTCAGAAACTGAATAAACATGCAAAAGGGAAACCTGTCATCATCATTATACAAAGCATTATGTTCATACTATGTATGTATGTATGTATGTACATCCATATGTACACTTTTCCCTCTCCGAACTTGTCGCCCGACCCCGAAGAGCTACAATTTGAAGAATTCCATTTGCATTTTAATTAAGTGAATGGACAATTGGCTAGGACGGGTGTGGTCAGTCGAGGGTAGAGACGGCTACTGTCTGGGATCTGTACAAGCAATTATGCATATCATAAAACACTTGAAACATTAATAAGGGCAAGCAACGAGCGCATACAGTGGACTAAGAGACAGAGGAACAGCGAGCAGTCATCTTTTTGAGTCCGGGACAGGGTCAATCGCTCCACTTATCCATTTTGGTGGCAGGTAGGGAATAGCGCCTTGAAAGCAGTACTGCACCTGTTCTTCTGTTCTTTCGACTTGATTTTCTTCTGGTGACACATGATTTGTACATTCAACGATTCATTTGTGATTCTGTTTCATTAAAGATTTAAATGTTAAGTAGACCAAAATCAAACAAACGCAAAAACTGCTTCATCGAGAGACCCCTCACTAATGAATATTCATTCGAAGTTATCGTCTCATTTATTTGCACATTTTGGTTTATTCCATACTTTGGGGTCCGTCTCGACCAACAGACAAAAATCATAAATCATGGCTTAATTTGCATATCGGCATATCGCCTGAACTTCCATCTCTAAACAGACAGCAACCACAGCAGAAACGCCCGCCCCAAAACTGTTTCAGTTTTGTTTATGGCCAGAGTCAGCGTGTTGCCACTTTATTGCCTGCTTTACATTTCTGTTAGTTCAAGTCCGCGCCCCCAGCCATACACCCATATTTGCATATGTGTGATATTGTGACTGGGTATGTGTGTGTCTGTCCGCGCTGTGTGGAAGTGCAGTCGTGTTATGCTTTGCGGCCAAATTAAAATTCGACTTAATCGTTTAAACATTTAAAAGGCAAACTAAAAGCCAGCAGGCGTTGCCAACAAGCAAGGCTTCCCATTCCGCCTGCTCCACCACACCACTCCACTCCACTCCTCTACTCTTCTCTTCCTCCTGCACACTCCCTCTTCCCACTCTACCAGCAGCAGCAGACTCCTTTGCTCTTTTCCTTTCCTTTTCTTTCTTTTTGCATGCGCAGCAAAACATGCGCCGAAAGTTGTAGCAGCATGTGGCTATCTCGCTCACACAGCCAGGCTTTAATGAGAGAGCGCCATACAACAAACATGGCTGCCGACGGTCCAAGAGCGAGAGAGCAGCAGAGAGCGAGATAAAGAGAGGGAGAGGGAGATGGAGATGGAGAGCGATAGCATGCTGAACGACAAGGAGATTTTTTTGCGGGATGAGTACTGCCCATGAGGATGGGAGCAGCTTTGTTTGCTTTGTTCGTGTTTCACCTTTGCTGCTCCTCTCTTTGCACAACAGAGGCTGCCGCCACGCCACAGAGTCACAGTCGCAGCAGCCCCAGCCCCGAGGGCCGTGCAATTCAAATGTTAATTAAAATTTAAATACTTTAATCGTCCAATTGAACTGCTTCTGTTTCTCTCTCAGCCTTTGCAAGAGAATTACAATTCGATTATTTCTTCAGTGAGAGTCCTTTCTTGTTCTTTCCAACTGTCCCCTGCTCAATAATTGTATGCGCGTCGAGAGGCCAATAGAACAACAGGAGTCACATGCTGTTTGAAACAATTAACATCCGCCCTGCCCCCACCTCA